CAGGCCCTGCAGCTGGACCGGAAGAATGTGGACGGGAGGCCGATGTTTGTGTCCCCGTGTGTGGACAAGAGCAAAAACCCCGATTTTAAGGTACGTCTGTGGGGAAAGGATGCCTTTCACGAAGGGTTGTTACAAACAGGCTGAGCACTTTTCTTCGTGAAGCAGCTGTTACTTACAACGTCCGTGGAACGGGGACCGAGCTCGCACACTAACCCCGGGCTCTGTCTGGAGCTGGTTAGCGGAGGTCCGGCTCACGGCGCGGGCACTGCGAGCGCGCACTCGCTGATACCTGGCCATAAACTGGGGGACTGTGGTGACGGTGACCGTCCGTTAGCACTAGGACTGACGAGGACTGCGCTGTGTTTCTGTGTTATGTTACTTCACGGGGTCCTCACCCAAACTCTGAGAGTAGCTACTCTCATTCTTGCCACTTCACAGAGGAGGAAGTGGAGGCTTGAGAGGTTAAGCGACGTGCCCACGGTGACCCAGTTAGCAGTTCCCCGCACCCGGAATCGGCTCGGCTCTGCCCGGCTGGGACGTGGGCTTGTCGACGAGGACGCCGGGCTGGGCATCGAGCCGTCGGTGTTCTCTCCATCCTTCCTGTAGGTGTTCAGGTACAGCACTGCCCTGGAGAAGCACAAGCTGTTCATCTCGGGGCTGCCCTTCTCCTGCACCAAAGAGGAGCTGGAAGAGATCTGCAAGGCTCACGGCACCGTGAAGGACATCAGGCTGGTTACCAACCGGGCTGGCAAACCCAAGGTCAGCGTCCGAGTGGACGGCCAGCGCCTCGCCTTCTGAGGCTGGGGGACCTGTCCCTGTGTCTGTTCACAGGTTATTTGGTTTCTAGAGTGGATTCCTACTTTGTCTCCTAACGAATCAGTTAACGGAAGGATAGGTATACTAGGCTTATTTGCATTTGGAGTCGGGAATCTTTTTGTAGCTAATTGTATTAAAAGAACAAGGCATTAAAAAAAAAACAAACCTCGACCATGAAGTAGCAGGGGAGCACAGTGCAGAGCCCACACCGGGCCTTGGGCTGAGCGGCTGTCCTCTGTGTCTCCCCACTCCTGCCCAGACCCTCCTTTCCTCCGGCCGCTGCCCGGGCCCGTCACTGGGCTCCCATCGTGCGGCCCTCTCGCCCCTTCTCGGTCTCTCGTGAGATCCCTTTGCGCCGCATTCAGAGTAGTGTCTTAGCATGAGTTTGGATGGCCTTTTCCCCCTCGTCCAGGTTAATCGAGAGTTAAAGGGTGTGACCTGAGGGGGTGACGAAGGCACAGACGCTAGGGCACACCAGGGCTGCGCCCCGGTGCCCAGGCCACCTCAGCCGTCTGCTGGATTTATGCTGGTCTGTCTGCCCTTTCTGCTGGACAAGCACAAGAAGTGCTGAGCTTACCACAGGTTACGGAGGGCACAGTCAGGACAGACAGAGCGCAGAGGACAGCCTAGGGCAGGGGAAGGGGCCTGTAGACGAAGGATGGCGGTGGTGGGGAAGGTCACTGGTTGACGGGGTGCCTGCTGTGGCCCCCCAGCCGGAGGGAGGCAGTGGCGTCCTGGCTCTGCAGCCCCCGACCTGGCTCCGGCGTCTTTCAGGGCCTGGCCTACGTGGAGTATGAGAATGAGTCGCAGGCCTCGCAGGCTGTCATGAAGATGGACGGCATGACCATCAAAGAGAACGTCATCAAAGTGGCCATCAGCAACCCGCCGCAGAGGAAAGGCCCAGAGAAGCCAGAAGCGAGGAAAGGACCGGGCGGCCCCATGGTGCCGAGGCAGATGTATGGAGCGTAAGTGTGTGCCGCTGGCCGGTGCAGACCCTGCCCTGGCTGGCGCCGGGGTCCGCTGCTTTCCTGTCGGGGTGGTTCGTGGGACGGAGAGTCGGGGCCCCCTGTCCTCTGTGGCCGCCGGAGAGGCTGTCCAGAGCACAGCCCTGAGGAGAGCGGGCCCTGAAGTGGGGGCCCCCCATTCTGGTGTTTGCTGGTGTACACTTGGGATTTATTTAAGGCTGCGCTTTTCTCTGTCTGGTTGTTTTCAAGTCGTCTTTGCCAGTTGAATCTGTACGTTTAAAGGAGGCCCAACAACCGTACGCTTGCCAGGGTGATCTATGCCTCTGGCTGTCTTTGTGTGAAGCTGGTTTATTTACCTGATAGGGCAACACACACAATCGCCAGGTGATTTGCTGAGGTGTGAGGGGATGCAGCCATTTTCATCTGCCCATAGGCAACTACGCTGCAGAGGTGTGGTCTTTGCCAAAATTGAAGAAAAGGCCAAATTGGTTAATGTAGTTTTTACCTACTAATCAATCTAGGAGATGTAGGCTTTGTCTCATCCTTGTAGTCTTTTTTTCACCTGTGAACTTGGAGTGATTTCAGCCTCCCCTGGCTTATTTTCACAAATAAACCGGGGTCCTGAATTGTCGCATTAAAGGGTACATTCAGTGTTTGCTCTTCCAGGCGGGGGAAGGGGAGGACCCAGCTTTCTCTGCTGCCTCGCGCCCTGCAGCGCCCGAGCCCCGCGGCGGCTCAGGCCGAGAACGGCCCTGCCCCGAAGCCGGCGGTCACCGCCTCAGCGGCCACCGAAGCTCCCAAGATGTCCAACGCCGATTTTGCCAAGCTGCTTCTGAGAAAGTGAGCGGGATTCTGAGGGAAGTGGAATGCCTTACTTCACGCTGGCCAGGAGGACCACCGTCACCCAGCGGTACCCTGGGTATGGAAGGGCCCGGGCAGCGCCCTTGCCCACGTAGTGTCCGCTGGTCTAGACAGACAGGGAACGGGTGTCCGAGGGCAGAGGCGGTCAGTGTTCCCTCATATTGAGGGTGGCAGGGGGAAGCAGTCACTCCACAGGTAGGGCCCAGAGGGTAGTTTCTAAGGTATTTTTTTGTCTTTAAGAGTGAAAAACAGAAGTGAAACTTGGACACGCTGTTTTGAGACACACTTGTCCAGATGTTTTCGGCCAACTCTGGCCTCTTTTATAAGACACTTGTCTCCCACTCTGCATAGTACGTGTGCCCGCCACTCTTTAATTTTCAAAAGACAAGACGGCAGATGCTAGTAACTCACCGGAACGGCCTATTTTAGTAAGGGGGTGGGGCCAGGGGAAGTCACATAAAAAATATTGGATGGATTTTTGTCCAACGGGGCTGTGCGTTTTTATATTATGTATTTGTAAATGACACGTCAACCCATTGTTTTTATGTTTCCTGAAAGCAGAATATCTGTGGCATTTGTTTGATGTAGGGGTTCTGTGTGCCGTCTGCTGTGGACCATTTTCTTTGCCTAGTGAGTAGTGGACTGTGTTCTTTGTCTAAATACTGAGTTTTAGCCCTTTGGTTTTGTTTAAATGCCATGTCAAGTGCAAACTTAAGTTTTCCCCGTTTAGGTTTGTTTATTAAACCGGCGTTCTCTTAAAACCCTCTTGTGGAGTGGTACTCAGCTCTGCGTCCCGACGTGGACCTTTTGACAGGGGTGTGCCTGCCTGTACCTAACAGACGTGCGAACGGAACTTCTGTAAGCCAAGTGCCACGTCACCGTGTTTCAGTCCTTTCAGCTGTGATGTGTCGTCAGCCTTAAACTTCAGTTTATGGCAGTTCGCACGTGAGCTTTTAGGCGTTCCCACCTGTGCTCTTGCATCAGGGGTTGACTGCCTTGGTAGCCGACACTGGCAGCTCAGTAGGGAAACTTCGTAAAGGCACTGCGAGGGGAGCCCGGGGACTCTCAGGTGTGATGGGAATCATCAGCACAGCTCTTTTTTTAACCCCCACCTGGGGATATGTTTGTTGATTTGTAGAAGGGGGCGGAGGAGAGAAAGAGAGAAACACTGATTGGTTGGCTCCTGTAAGGGCCACCGATGAGCCACCTTTTGGTGTAAGGAGGACGCTGCAACTGGGCCCCCACCCAGCCAGGGCAGCTCAGCTGTTGTTTAAGTGTCTGTGCATCATTCAAGCCTCAGCGGTATTTAACATAACATTTCTTTAAGTGGAAAACTTTAAAATGGTAAAGATTAGAAAGATAAACTCTTTATGTGCCTCCCGCCGATGGCAGCACCTCTCACCCCAGAGCCCTCTTCCTTCCTCTCTGCCTCCACCCCCGCCCCCTGTCTGTATTATGGTGAGGGCACCCAGTGGTGGTGTAGCGTGTGTCCCTAGGAGATGAGAACTGAAAGGCCGTGGTTTCATCAGTACTCTAAGAACATCAGCAGTAATACCCCAGTGCCATCAACTGTCCAGCCAACTTCCCGTTTCCTGTTGTTTCATAAACGTCAGTTCCGTCCCGTAAGTTGGGATTGGTGGATCGTAGCTGAGTCTTTTAATCTGTAGGCCCCCCTCTACCGTGTCTCTCTTTTGCACAAAGCCAAAAATGTGTTAGGAGTAATCTGAATTGAATGCAGGCAGTGGGCATTTTTTACCCCATAAGCAGCCAGAAGAGGCTGCATCATGCTCTGCAACGGCCCCTCCCTGCCCGAGGAGGCCCCCTCCGTGGGGAAGGGTCTGGGCTGGTCCGGGGCCGGCCCTGCAGAGCCGTGAATATTCCCCGGCCAGCCCGGGTTCAGGTGGCTTGCTCTCCGCCGCTTCACAGCTCGCCGTTGTGTTCTCGGCAGTCGGCCGGGCCTCTGGCCCCTGGCATGCTCTCGAGGTCAGCACAGGCTTCGCACAGAGGTGAGCCTCTTCGGACCTGAGCAGGACCCGGGCTGGTTCGGGGCATGGACTCTTCTAGGTAGGAACGTTCAGGAATATGTGACCGGGCTTGTGTGTTTCCCCAGAAAATCACAGACTCGCGGTAAATAGAAACATGAAAACCCACTCCCGCCACTTGAGTCCTAAGGGAGAGGTCAGTGAGCCGGGTCCGTCGGCCTGGGTGGGCTGCTCACTCAGCCAGCTTCGCCCCGTTTCCCGCGGGAGTGCCCGCCTCCCGTCTGCCCCCCGGCCGGGACTGTGTACTGAACGGGTCTGCGGCCCCCCGACAAGTGGAACTATCTCCTGAAGAAGACAGCACAGTCTGAGGCGTTTATTTAATATAATAAAATACTTTATTAGAGTCAGTTATTTGTTAAAGTAATGTCCTTCACATTTAGCTAAAGTGCCCATTTCAATAGTACAAAGCAAGAACTTCCATCAGGCTTCCTTGGTGTGCTTATAAAACCACGATGTAGAAGATTTAAGGTCTAAAAAATACCTTCATGGTAGCGTACAAGGATGAGAATATAAAGGTTTGAATAACTCACTTGAGCCCATTTCATATATCTTTCCATTCATTTCCCTTAATCTTTCAGAAAACCATTCTGAATGTGCTTACCACACGATTAGATAACCACGAACACTTGCTACCTAAGAATAGCGACTGATCCCCAGACCAGAGCTGGCGCTGCGCACCCTCTGCGCCCCTCAGGCACTGGCGGGGTGCAGGGCAGTGCCGGGCCCTGTCCCCGGGGCAGGAGCCCACGGCTCTGGCCGGTCTCACTAAATAGCAGCAGTTGTGTTGGCTCCTGTGCCGTATGTGATTGAAAGAGAAGAGACTTTCTGCTTCCCCAGAAGGACATCTCAGCCGTAGTACATACGACAAGTTGGTGGAAAACTAAGGCCACTCCAAGGCGATCTGTTCTGTTTCCCCGAGGGTGCTGGACAGGACAGTGGCTGTGGCTGGTTGGGGGCAGGTCAGTAAGTGGATCCAACAGCATGACAAAAAGGGGCATGTCCCGGCTGTGGTCAAAGGTTTCTCGTGGTTCAGTACAAACTGATGCTCCAATCCATTACGAGAATGCTTATTTAACCCTGGCTGGGTTGCTCAGTGGGTTGGAGCACTTCCCGTACACCAGAAGGTGCATACGGGAGCCAACTGATCAACGTTTCTCTCTCCCTCCCTCTCAAATCAATAAACATATCCTTGGGTGAAGATTAAAAACAAAACAAAACATGTACTTGGTGGTGATGTGGCACGTGTTTTCTCAGAGGTGCTCTGCAACGCCCAGTTACAGATGCCACACTCGGGGAGAGGGCCTGATCCGCAGCGGGCCTCGTTCCGGGGACACCCGGAGAACTTGCAGACCTCTGGGCTGAGTGCTGCAGATGCAGGGGAGAAACGTGGACCCCAAAGGGAAATCCAGTTCCCCTATCCTTCATTAGAAAAATAGTATTAGTATGGGAAAACAGCCTCCGACACTAGAGTTTGCAAACTCTGGCTCTTGGAATGAGCAAGATACCGAACTAGAAATGTTGTCAATGCTCGTGTCATTTTCCGTCTCTGTCTGCCCTGCCAGGTGGGAATTAGTCACAACACCGGCCTCTTTGTAGGGAAGCAGAAAGCTCTAAGAAAGCAAGCTTTCAATCATTTCCCAAAACCTGGGACCAGGTCAAGTCACAGAACCTGTTGGCCAGTCTTGGAGAAAGACCTGGAGGAGTTAGTCCCGTGTGTCTGGATCTCATCCCAGTCTTGGCCTCTCCCCACCTTCGTGCAAATTCTGCCCCAGAACTTGTTCTGGTCACGTGCAAAGAACATGGGTGCCCCCAATGCCTGCTGGGACCCCCGTAAGCATGGGCCACCAGCATGGATGGCAGACACCACACAACATTTCCTAGCTCAAAAGAAGAAAATAAATAAGTTGGCTGAATTATAAGTTATCCTAGAAACAAGTCTTAATAATTTAGTTTTTTTCTTTAAAAAAAAATTGGAGGTAAAGAATGTTTAAGTTCCTTATCTGTTTCCTTTTGCTTTGGGAAACGACAAGGTTTCTAGAAATGCTAGGTTTTGGTTTTTCTCCCCCTGGAAACCCTGTCACTAAGGGAGGCTTTAAGGGTTAAGGTTTCACAGGTAGTGTCTCCTTGAACCCAGAGTGGTTGGGTTTGGCCTCGGGCAGTGCCACTGGGTACTCTGTTGTGGCAAAGAGCAGGGTGTCCAGGGTGGTCTCTGTACACTTGGCAATGAAGCGAATGAATGGCCTCACGTCGCCTTCGTTGGCGACTTCCAGTACGTGGTAGTACTCGGATCTCTGCTCCTTGCGGATGGTGATGGGGGGGTAGCCCGCCTGCATCAGGATGAGGTTCATCAGCAGGCGCGAAGTCCTTCCGTTGCCGTCGATGAAAGGGTGGATGTACACAAGTTTATAGTGGGCCAAGGCTGCAAACTCCACTGGGTGCAGATTCATGGCGTCCTCGGAGTTGAGCCACTGTATGAACTCTTTCATCTGCTTCTCCACCTCCTGGGGGTGGGGAGGGATGTGGTGTCCCACGAGGACCTGTGTCGTCCGAAACCTGCCGGCTTCCACGGGGTCCACGTAACCCAGCACCCGCCTGTGGATCTCCAGTACGTCGCTGATGGTGACGGACCCGATGCGGGAGACCAGTGTCGTGTTGACATACTTCATTGCTGCGTGCATGCCGATGACCTCGTTCTGCTCCTCCAGGCTCTTCCCCGGCACAGCGTAGCGGGTCTCCAGGATGTGCCTGATTTCTGAGAGGGTGAGGGTGTTGCCCTCGATCGCCACCGTGTGGTAGATGTGATGGTAGTACGTTTCCTCCATGACCCTTCGCAGCGCGGAGTTGCCCTTGGGGATGGACATGACCTTCTTCACTTTGCTGTCGATGATGCTGAAGTACCTCTGGTCGATCTCCTCGACCAGCGGCAGCGTCCGGTCCCGGTTGATCAGCGCTTTTTTGTGGTCGGGCGAGATGGTCAGCGCCCTGGTGTACAAGTAATCTGCCTGGATGATGTCCTTGTCCTCTTCCGAGAAGATGCCAAACTCGTTGAGGGCGTCCACAAAGTCTGGGTCCATCTTCAGGGCGTGCAAGAAGAGCTTGTGGGCTTTTTTCCGCTTGCCTTGGCGTTTCATTTCCAGGGCTTGGTTCAGAGCTGCTTTGGCTTCCAACTTCCCGGCTGGAAAAGAGCCAAAGGAGCACAGTCAGGGAGGGTGGGGAGTGGCAGGGAGGGCCGGGAGTGGCAGAGCACGTCCAGGTGAGTGGTCAGCTGCTGGGCCCCAGGGGAAGCCATGGCCTCGGGGGCTCGGTCCAGCCATGCTGCTGCTCCTCCCAGCATGCTGGTACTCCTGTGTGTGTGGATGTGTTTATTCCCCACAGCCCCATGGGGTGGTAGGCTGGCGGTTTTTCATTTGTCCCACAGTCCTGGAGGCATCACCTTGCCCCCTGCCTGCCGCGTGGGGAGTGGGCGTGTACCTCTGGCCACAGCTCCCAGCACTCGGCCCTCCCTGCATCATGATGGGGTCTCCCCTGCTCTGGGGGCCAGGCTGTAAATAGCTCCCCACTGGTACTAGCCCCTGAAGCCTCCCTCCTTGGGCCCTTTAATTCTCTTAACCTAGTGGTTTTCAGCCGCACCCTGTTAAACATCTAGTCTTTCTTCTACCAGCTCTCCCACCAAGTGAGTGTCAGCCACACTTCTTGGGCTTCCTTTAGTTCCTCAAGTGCCCAAGACTCTTACCCTCAGGCCTCTGCTGGAGCACTCTCCCCTCGTGACTGTTCTTTGGATCACTCCTGCTCACACTCTGGTCTCAGCTTAAGTACCCCTTCCTCCAGGGAGCCTTCCTGGTGTGCTCCTGTGGCCTCCTTTGCTCCCCCATCACCACCTTGGTGGCGCTGTATGGGTCACCTGTCAGCTTGTCTAGGCTGGGAGGTCAGGGCTGACTTCTTCACTGTGACACCCTGTACCCTGCACATAGGACGAAGTAGACACTAAACATCTGCATTAGCAAGTGCTGAGAGTGACGTGGGCATCATGGGGGAGTGAGAGGACTCCATCGTTTCTCCCCTGTAATGTACAAAAAGTCGGGTAACTGAAAAAAGGATCCCCTGTTCAACACACACACGTGCCTGAAAGATCCACACCTGGGATGAAAGTAGGGAAGGTGGGATGGGGGAAGGGCAGGGATGGTGGCCACAGATGAGGCTCAGCACCCACCTCGGCTCCAGCCAGTTGGCAGCGGTGGGGGAGTCGTACCACAGCGCTCACACTAGAGCCTGGACTGTAAGGCAGGCAGGGCAGTTTCCCTCAGGGACAAGACAGCTCCCTCCCTGGCTCCCCCTGCCCCCCACCAAAACCAGGTAGAGGCAGCTGAGAAGTCTTAACACAGTGGTGTTGACTGCCTCTGCTGCTGGTGGGGCGGGGGGCAGAGCTGTGAGATCGCAGACTTGCCCCCGCTGCCCCACACCCCCTGGCGGAACCTGGTAAAGAAGGCTGGGAAGTGAAAATACAACATAGCAGCAAAAGCGCAGAGCGGCAGCAATCAAACCAGTATGGTCCTGGCAGAAAAATGCACAGGTGAACAGAACAGAATTGAGAGTCCAGAAACAACCCCCCACACAGGCAACTAATTTTCATAAAAGGAGCCGAAAACATACGATGGAGAAAGGAAAGTCTTAGTAAATGGCATGGGAAAACTGGGAAGCCACACACAAAAGGATAAAACAACTGACAATGTGCACAAAAATTAACTAAAAATGGATTAAAGACTTGAATATAAGACCTGAAGCAATAGAATATATGGGAGAATATATGGGCACTAAACTTAAATACCTTGGTCTCAGGAGTTTTTGTGAACTTGACACCAAAGGCATGGGAAGTAAAAGCAAACAAACTAACAAACCACTGCATCAAACTAAAAAGCTCCAAAGCAAAAAAGAAAGCACCAACAAAACAAAAAGGCAGCCCACTGAATGGGAGATATTTACAAATGATACTTCCAATAAGGGGCCAACATGCAAAATAGATAAAGAACTCATACAATTCAACAACACATGAAAAAATTTTGATTAAAACTTGGGTAGAGGACCTGAATAGACCTTTTTCCAGGGAAGACATACAGGCAGCCAACAGATACATGAAAAGATGCTCAGCGTCATCCTGACCAGTGTGACTTGGTTGGACATCGTCCTGCCTAGTAGAAAGGTCGCTGGTTCAATTCCCGGTCAGGGCACATGCCTGGGTTGCAGGTTCCATCCCAGGTCCAGGCGCTCATGAGAGGCTACTGATGGATGTTTCTCTCTCATATCAATGTTTCTCTCCCTCTCTTTCTCCCTCCCCTCCCCGCTCTCTAAGAATAAAGTCTTTTAAAAAAATTGCTCAACCTCACTAGTGGTAAGGGAAAACAAGTTACAACTATGAGATACCATAAGGAGTTGGGGAGGACGTGAAGAGGGAGCTCTCGCACACTGCTGGTGGGAATGTTAGTTGGTACAGCCCCTATAGAAAACAGATGGAGGTTTCTCAAAAATTTAAAAATAGAGTTATCATGTGACCCAGCAATCCCTCTTCTGGGTATCTACCTGAAAAATGTGAAAGCATTCATAAAGATATATGTAGTTCTATGTTCACTGCAGCATTCTTCACAGTGGCCAAAACACGGAAACCCAGGTGCCCTTTGATGGACGGATGGATAAAGAAGGTGTCGTACATGTGTGTGATGGAATACTACTCAGCCATAAAAAGATGACACATTGCCATCTGCCTCAGCATGGTTGGATCCTGAGAGTATTATGCTAGGGGAAGTAAGTCAGCTGGAAAAGGACCAGAACCATATAAATTCACTCACGTGGGATATAAAACATAAAGCAATGAATGAACAAACAAAAACTCATAGATACGGACAACTGAATGGTGGTTCCCAGAGAAAAGGGGGACGGGGGAGGGCAAAGACGGCACAGGGGGTCAAGTGTACGGTGAGCAGGAGGCTGCAGATTCTGGGCGGTGAACACAATGCGGCATACAGATGATGTGTATAGACTTGTACACATGAAACTTACATAACCTCATTAGCCAATGTCACCCCATAGAATAAACAGATGTCATATTACCAAGTTGTACTCCTAAAATTTGTTATTAACAAGGTACCCCAATAATTTTAACAAGTGTAAACACAAATGATAACAGACAAACCAAATGTGGCATAATCCAAACAAAGCGAACAATCAACTGTGGAGGAGAGACAGCCACTCCCTCTTACCTGGGGAGGACTTGGCCTTGACCACCAGCAGTGCTGCATCCTTGGAGGTGACACTGAGTTCTGTGGATGGTCTGGCATATCTGCTGACGGCGTGCTGTGCCCTGTCCAACCTGCCGCTGAGCAGGTAGAAGCCTTTGAGCAAGGCCAGACCCTGCTCCTCCATGGCCTCCAGGGGCAGCAGCAGGGCCAGCAAGGACCCCAGCGCCAGGCTCAGCAGCATCACCCACAGGAAGCGGCCCCACATGGAGACCCATTTTGGTTCAGTCACGGCCATCACTGAAGCCATTGGCACGAGTGTCATCTGGACTCAGGGGTGGCCCCCTTGCACATATCCACAGTCGTCCGAAAGAGAGCCAGATCTGAAAGGAACCAAGAGTCAGAGGAGATGAGGCATGTTTGGGGTGCATTTCTGACTCCAGCTAGGGCTTGGAGACCCCCAGGCCTCTGAATTCACTGTGACCAGGGGGTGGGGGCAAGCAAGGAGTGGGTATAAACGTGGAGGGGCCAGCCTGGAAGGATTGGAGCCCTCTGCAGGGTGGTGTCTGAAAAGTAATGCTGCCGTTGCCCAGCATTTATTAGGCACTTACTGTGTGCCAGGCCCTGTGCTAAGTAAGCTCTAAGGGCCTACACATACCCTCCTGCAATCTTCAACAAGAGCTGATGCTACAGGCGCCCCACTCTCCAGATGAGGAAACAGGTTTGGAGAAGTCACCCAGTGAGAAGGTGAGAGCCTTAGGACTTGAATTCAGGACCCTGTGGCTCTAAAGTCTACCCTCCATCACAAATTCTGTGGCCTCGGACCCCAAACACTGAGTGTCTGGGGCAAAAGTAAGAACCTAACACACCCAGATTGGCCAAGGCAGTTTTGAGGCCCATTCCTTGATAAGTGCAACTGTTTGGTGACCTGATGTATTGTCACATGGCTGGCCACCTCTTCCTGCCCTCACCCTGAAACTAGCCGCATTGCCAGTCCCCTCTCTTGCCTTTTCTGGGATGCCACCTAGAGTTTGGGCAGTCAAACATCTCAAGAACAACTCAGGGTGTGGGCCAGACCAGTGACCCCGCGCCCTCTGTGACAGGGGGTTTGTGTTGGGGGATGACAGTGAAAGTGGGGGGGGTCAGGCATGCTAACAATAAGCATTTATTGGGCAACTGGTGTGCTGAGTGCCGAGCTGAGCGCTAGCCATACGTTATCTCGCGTAACCCTCAGTACCCTAAGAAGGACAGCCACCCCAGCTCCGCTGTACAGAAGAGGGAAACAAGAGACAGACGGGGCAAGTCAATTCCCAGGAGGCGCACAGGGAGTAAACAGAAGCATCGGGTACGAATCCCCAGTGCGTCTGAGTTCTGGGTGCCCGAGGCGTCACCTCTACCGTATCCATAATCAGGGCCCGTGCACCAGCTCCTGGTGCTAGGCCTTATCGCTCAGGGCTGTAGGTCTAACGGTGGGGGCGCGGGTTGAGCGCTGGCTCGTTGATCCAGAACACTGGAAATGGCTTGCTACGCGCTCTAATGGGGGTTCACTTGGCCCACTGTGGGGTTACGGAGACTGGAGGTACGGAGACGGTGTGGGTCACTCTTCGTCCAGGTGGTCTGCGCGTTATCCCCGAGGGACGGCCTCCTGGGGGTGGCTGGTGTTCGCCGGTGACGCGGGTGTGCGCGGGGAGCTGGAAGTGCGTTCCGGGAGGCGCGATCTCTCACCCACCACTACTCTAGGAAGCGGGAAACTGAGGCCCAGGGAGGGGAGAGCGCTGGACTGTCATTCTGGGGAGCCGCCCCTTTCCGAACCCCGCCCAGGGCTTCCTGTCCTACCGCACCCTTCCCTGCCCTCTCCTTCCAAGTTCCTCGGGCTCACCACCTCCTCTCCGCGCACCTTTGCCAGGCCCTGCGGCCGCTGTCCCGGCGTTCGCTAGCTCCGCGGCAGGATACCACAACCTCCTCGCTGCCGGCCTTCTGGGCCCGCCCCCTCCAGCTTGCCATTGGTCGGCTGGTCACTCTCGTCGAGGCGGGTAGGCCTCCTGCACTGGTGCGCTCCTCGCACTTCCGGGTTCTCGCGTCGCCTCGGCTTCCCGGGGAAAGTCTCGCCGTGGTCCACTCCCATTGGTTGGTTTCTGCGTCGGTCTCGTGTCGCAGCAGCCAATAAACAACAGGAGGGGTGGGGCCTGGGCGACCGGCTGGAGTAGTGGGTGTGGAAAATCCCGCGCTGATGTGGTTTTGCAGGCACGGAAATTGGGAAACTCACAACGCCGCTGGTTTGAAACAGCTGACCGTCCCACAGGTCTCCTTCTCAGGCATCTCTCCTGGCCTCAGTTTCTTTAGGTGTAATATGAGGATGTTGGTGGTTTGCACCTCTCTACCCTATTAGTCTGACTTCACAGCCCACTTCTCATCCTCCACCCTGTGCTACCAGAACTGAGCTTTCTCCTTTTTCTCCCCTTCTCTCTTTTCGTCCCTGACTTTTTTTTTTAAATTTTTTTTAAGATTTTATTTATTTTTTAGAGAGGAAAGGAAGGGAGATAGAGATAGAGAGAGAAACATCAATGTGCGGTTGCTGGGGGTCATGGCCTGAGACCCAGGCATGTGCCCTGACTGGGAATCGAACCTGCGACACTTGGGTTCGCAGCCCGCGCTCAATCCACTGAGCTATGCCAGCCAGGGCTCGTCCCTGACTTTTAATTTGGATCCTCCAGAGAAGGGCCTGGCTGCTTGTTTTGGCTTCTGGGGGGGGGGGGGGCGGGGGAGGAGGGAAGAGAGGAAGAGAAAGAGAGAATTTTTTTCCTTCATGAAGAAAGCTGAAACCTCCATCTTTTTCTTTTGTATTTATTATTTTTTCCTTCTTATTGAATATATTGGGGCGACACCGGTTAACAAAATTATACGGGTTTCAGGTGCACAATTCCACAGCCCATCAACTGCACACTGTCCATCAATCACCATTTATCTCCTCTGTACCCTCCTCCACCTCCCCCCACCCTGCAACCACCACACGCTTTGAAACCTTCATCTTCTTCTCTTTGAAATCTCCATCTTAATTCAGGAATATTGAAACCAAACATCCAGGACCTGTGGCATGCCCAGTAATTCTAAACATTAAGATGTCATGTCAACCGATGGTCATTGGTGTCAGTTCAACGCTAACAGGAGCCCCCAGTTTGGGCCGTGGTGAAGTGGGGGACCCTTCAGTGAAGACAGCTCCGTCGTGCAACAGCACAGCTGTGGGACAGCAGGCTGTGAGGTGGCCCCATAGAAGCGGTCCCACTGCGGCAGCCCAGCGCCAACCAGCACGGCAGCTCCACTTCCCTCTGGTGAGCCAGCTTGCCTGTCACAGCTCAGCTTTGGCCCGCTGCAGAAGGCCTGACCCTTCAAGATCTGACCTTTTCCAGAACACACATTTCGCTGGATGTCACCCTCGGAGTTACACAGCCCTGAGTTCAAATCTCATGTCTGCCACTTGCAAACTGAGTACCTTCAGCGAATTGACCTTGCTGATCCTGTTTGGCGTAAGACTGGTGCAATGCGAAGACGGTCCATCCACTAGGGTTTTTGTGTGAGAGCCAAGTGGTGAGTGTGTGCTATTGCAATTATTCCTAGAGAAGACACCAAGTCATTGCTTATTTGTTACCTGCAGAAAAAACTGTCAGAGCTGCAGCTTGCTCCATCCCCTGGGGAGAGACCCCATTGCCGTTTCATAGGGCTCAGTCGGATTCCAGTTTTAGGGAAGCCGCTGACTCACAGCACAAAAGGGGGTGTCCAGGCCCAGGCCAGATGCGTGTTGTCAGGAAAGACAGCGTGTGGGGGACATCGGGAGGTGAGGGACCAGGCAGCTTTGGCCCTTGCTGTTTGGGCTCCCTGTTTATATTATAACTTGGCCCCCAGTCCGCCCAACTCCCAGCCCTGGGCATGGGGAATGGCATGTGGTGGTAGATGCTTCCGAAATTTTGTTGTCTGGAATTGAATAAATCTCTGCAGTAGGACCAACCATGAGGTTTTTAAGAAACAAAATCAGGATGGTGGTTATTTCTGGGGCTCCCTGTTTCCGTCTTTTGAACAAAGATCATGAACATCATTCTCTCCATGTCACCTGAATTCCACTCCTGATGGTTCAAGCAGTAATGTAAAACCCTTTCCCAGAGGAGGGCCTGCGACGCAACCAGCTAATTATGGGGGTCGGTTGGTGTAGTGCAAAGCAGTGAGGTCCTGGGGTCAGGCAGATGTGTGTTCAAGTGCAGGGCCCATCACTTACTAGCTGTGTGACCTTGAGCAGGTCACTTAGCCTCACTGAACTGGGTATTATGGGGCTTGTGGACCTCTATCTCCTCCTAGGCATAAGGTGATGTAATCATCCACTTTTAAAGGTACCATCCTTTCTTCATTCCTTATTGGGATGTCAGTGCAAACTCTTCAGGGAGTTTAGGCTATGGTAGAGAATCCAGGAGCTATATAACAATCGTCAGTGAATAAAACTGTCTGGGCATGAGACAATAGGGAAAGGTGGTGAGTGCGGAGAATGTGCGAGCCCCTGTCTCATCCAAAGTGGGCCGCAGCTTCTCAGCTTTAGCATGCATTTATTATGCTAGCATGCAGTCCAGAAGTTGACAGGTTTTCCATTTTTTTTTCAAAAGAAGTGTCGGGCCTAGATTTTTAAACAAAATCTCCAGATTTTTCAACAATTGGCATGTTTGTCTGCCAGTTACAGAGAACTGCCAGATTCCTGCTTAAAAGCTTTCAAAATGGGCAGGAAGCCAGCCAATGAATCTGCTTACCTGGATGTGTTTCTGCAGAAATTTAGAGAAAGCAGGCAATAGTGAGGCCATGTTATGAGCTTTCAAGACATTGACATCATTAAGGTCCCTGAAAATGGCTATAAGAAAAATAAAATAAAATAGTCAGGAGATGGTAGCAAGGGAATGCAGGGAACAACACCACAAATGACTCTCAGCGAATGATTGCACCGCTGTCTGCGGGCACCAGGGGGCAGTAATTCACCTGGCATCACTGCCCCCATTTAATGCCCATTGTCAAGAGAGCGCACTCAATTTTCTTTCTGGATGTTGTCTGCATTCAGTTGTGTTAAATGCACAAAATATGGCCCCTGAAATGATATTGAAAAGTTATCTTTCTCCCTCTTAAGTTTCTGTATTGGGTGGAAATTGCCTCCCAGTGGCCCACGGAGGATTTTTGTAAAACCTAACCTTGACACTTGACAGAGAACCTAAGAAAGTGGCTGCATGGGAAATGTGTTCATTATGCAAAAGAAAATAAAACCCTTTATGCATCTTTAAGAAACAACATCCAAGCACTTCCTGGTGGCAGAGGCAGATTAGATTGCTGAGAAAACCCTGAATCCCCAACTTGCGGCCGTATTGCGTTGGGGTGGCTCCAGAATGACTCACCTGTGTTTAAAAGAAGATACACCCTACTGGTTCTCTCCCCCCTTTCATTCCCAGGCTCCTCTCACATCCTAGCCTGCTTGGATGTTTCTCTTTCCTCTTTCTAACTCAGAGATGCTGCAGAAGAAGAGACTTCAGCAGCATTCCCCCCTGACTACTAAAACTCCTTACTAGGAATACCCAGTGTGGTCGGGTTCAGCTTTTGAGGCACTGCCAAGAGACGGAGGTTGGGGGACCCTGTGTGGGTGTCCCTGAGCTGATGGCTCATGCCCTGCACTCAGGGTGTTCCACGTTGTTAAATAGCCAACTGCTCTATTTCTTAAAAGCTGGACGGATCATTACAGATAAAACAAAAGGCACAAGCAACGGGAAGAAAAATGCCCATGCACAGCTGTACTGGGTATTTTTCTATGCACACTTATTTTTAAATGTGCAATATTTCAGACATGCGGAGGGCAGAGCCAATACCCTGGGTATCTGTGTGCCTGCCACCCAGTTTAAAAAATACCCCATCGTATTCCCAGTGCCCCGAAGCTCCAGGGCAGCCCCTCCCCCATTACATTCCCATCCCTCCTCCCAGAGGTAACCTCCAGCTTGACCTTGATGCTTCTTAGATGCACGCATGGCTTTGGCTTTTGCCAACATGTATCTATTTCTAAATAACATATAGCAATGCTCTGCGTATTTTTGCATGTTCTGTATACTCTATGTATCCTCCTGCATTTGCAGGGGGTGGTTCAGCATTACATTTTAGAGATTTATATTCCTGTTAATACACTTAGTGCTGCTTCATTAATTTTACACTGCTGTGTAGTATTCCATTTAGAATTTATTTCCCATTTACCTCCTGATGGGCAGGGGATCGTTTCCAGTCCTTCCCTGTTACGAACAGCACTGCAGTGGAATTCTTGTCTGACTCGGGCACTCGTGTGAGAGTTCCTGTAGGGTGGAGTTCCTCAAAGGTTCACCTGGGGAGCTTTTAAAAGAACACCTGTACCTGGACTCACTCCAGACCACTAAAGTCCTCCAGCCTCTCTGCTCTTCCTGGATCTTGGCTCTAAGTGGAAATAACTGTACTCGTCACATTATCTCATGACTGGTAGCGGTAACTACCATTTATTAAGCACCTACTGTGTACTAAGTAATTTATATATATTAGTTTATTGGGTTATTGTAACCATGCCAGGAAGTAGGTATGATTAAACCCGCCGTATGGAAGGTGAAAATGAGGTTCAGAGAAGTTAGGTAATTAGCCTGAGGTAGCACAGCAAGCAAATGGCAGAGTCAGGGTTCAAAACCAGTCTTCTTGACTCAAAACTTATGTTTTTAACCATTGTGAGACCCTACAACTTCAGAGCTGACTGGTTACATTTTGATTCCTCAGTTTTACCGGAGGGGGAGGACACTGAGGTGGGTAGAGGACAAGGCCAGAGGCGGGACACAAACCCAAGTCTCTAAAGCCCGTACCCATCAACACATCACTTTCTTATGTAAAGGTACTTTAGGGAAGGGAGCGAGGAGCAGGGCGGGAATAATCTCGATAAAGCCGTCTTTCTTCTCAAGACAACTTCTGGCTATTCCGTGGGCA